CTTAAATTATTAATTAATTTTCCGTTAACGGTGACTCCCGCTTCGATATCATTGAGCGTGTTTTGGAAAATTTCTTCAGAATATAAGTTAAACAAAAGTGGTGATAACACACATCCCTGTCTAACTTTTCTACAGATCCTCATTTCTTCTGAGTGTTGCCCATCAATTTGAACTATGGCACTTTGGTTCCAATATAATGTTTGCACTATATTTATGATTTTACTGTCAATGCGCTTGTTCATAAGTATTGATATTAGTTTTTCATGTCTTACTTTATCGAAAGCTTTTTCGTAGTCAAAAAAGCACAAGTGTAGATCAATATTTACATCCCGACATCGCTGAATTAATATGTTGATGGCAAATAGTCCTTCTCGAGTACCCATTCCATTTCGGAACCCGAACTGCGTCGCGCTAATATCCTCCTCTAGCCTTTCGTATATTCTCTTATGTATTATTTTTAGCAGAACTTTTAAAGTATGACTCATGAGGCTCAGTGTTCGATAATCAGAGCACTCTTTTGCTGCTTGTTTTCTAGGGATGGTTATAAATGCTGACTTTAGCCACTCCTGTGGTATTATTCCCGTATCGTACAGAGTGTTGAATAAATCTGCCAATACTTCCAAGTTGATGGAAGTATTGGCAGATTTATTCAACACGGTGAAATACAAGAACTATATAGAGACTCAAAGGCACAGATAAAAACAGGAAAATATCTAACGGAAGAATTCCTGGTTACAAAAGGCTTGCGACAGGGATGCTGTATCTTACCAACCTTATTCAAGATATATGTTGCAGCAGCATTAAAAGATGGAAAAGAAAGGTGCATAGGATGGTATAGAGCTTAGCAATAAATGTATATATACACTCCAGTTTGCTGATGACCAGGTAGTACTAGCGACTGACAGAGAAGACATGCAGTACATGCTTAGAAAACTGATAGAAGAATATAACGACTGGGTAATGAATGTCAATACAACAAAAACCAAATATCTTTGTATTGGAAACGAGTCAGATAACATAGACCTCGAGAAAACGGACAACATATTTCCTGCTGTCAGAGCTACGACTACTTGGGTGTTGCCTTTGACAATATAGGAACTAATATACGGGAATCATGAATTTGTTGCTTGTGTGAGTCCATTTCAAATAGGTAAAGAAATAATAAATCAGACTTACTCACAATCAATTTAATTTAACTATCCGACGACCGGTTTCGCTTTCTACAATATGCAAAGCATCTTCAGGTCTCGGTACAAAGTTAAACAAATGCTGAAATGATAAAAAACCCATATTAGGGTGTTGTCTAATAAAGATAAACAAATTAGATGTTACAAATCACAATAATTATGCCAACATTACCTGTCTGTGTTTTTTTTATTTAAATGATTGAGTTGAAAAAGGTATAAATATTTTTTTAAAAAAAGTTTTAAAAAGTTTTAAAAAGTTAAAAGGACAAGGTAAGGCCCACAAGTTGTCATAAAATCTCTTCTATTGGAATAAATTAATGAATGAGCAAATAAATAAATGAAATAAAATAAAATAAAATTACTTACATGCCGGTACTCTATTAATAGATGGATGGTAGAACATGTTTGAAACTACTGTATATTGTTGAATGATGTTCTACAAACATGTTCTACCATCCATCTATTAATAGAGTACCGGCATGTAAGTTAATTTTATTTTATTTTATTTCATTTATTTATTTGCTCATTCAATAATTTATTCCAATAGAAGAGATTTTATGACAACTTGTGGGCCTTACCTTGTCCTTTTAACTTTTTAAAACTTTTTAAAACTTTTTTTAAAAAAATATTTATACCTTTTTTCAACTCAATCATTTAAATAAAAAACCACAGACAGGTAATATTGGCATAATTATTGTGATTTGTAACATCTAATTTGTTTATCTTTATTAGACAACACCCTAATATGGGTTTTTTATCATTTCAGCATTTGTTTAACTTTGTACCGAGACCTGAAGATGCTTTGCATATTGTAGAAAGCGAAACCGGTCGTCGGATAGTTAAATTAAATTGATTGTGCGTAAGTCTGATTTATTATTTCTTTACCTATTTAATATACGGGAAATAGAAAAACGCACAAGCAAAGAAAGTCTTAGGATATCTCAATGGTATACTGTGGAGTAAAGAGATAACGAAAGGAAGAAAATTTAATATATATGAGACCATGATTAAAACTACTCTTCTTTATGGCGCTAAAACATGGAGAATTAGTGAAAAGGACAAAAAGCAAATAGAAGCAGTAGAGATGAATGCAATAAGAAGATCTTTAGGTATTTCCAGGCGAGGCCGAATCAGAAATGATGTAATAAAACAACTTATGGGAATAGAAGGCAATATAACTCAAGATATAGAGAGGAAACAATTAAGGTGGTATGGGCATGTTCATCGGATGCCAGCAACAAGACTCCCCAAAAAAAGTATTAGAATGGCAACCGATAGGTCGACGGAAAAGAGGAAGACCCAGATTAGAATGGCAACACGGCGTAAACAGGTCCATGAGCGAAAGAAATTTCGATTTTTTCGCACATTTAAAAACACATATTCTCCTGAAAACCAAACAAAATCTTTGATACGTGTTTATGGACAATATTTTGATTTCATTTCATTACATTCTGAGCTAACAGCTTTATACGAAACTGAGGACATTGACACAAAAAATAATGCCAGTGAGTTACTAACGTTTTTAAAAACAACTTCTTTGGGCAAAACATATTCGGAGGTAGTGAAAATATGTGAGTTAGTACTGACCATTCCAGCTACTAGTGCCTCTGTAGAACGTAGTTTTTCAACATTAAAACAAATAGAGACTTACTTAAGAAACTCGACGGGACAAGTTCGACCCTCTAAAGTTTCCCTTTTGGCAATTAAAAATAATCTGGTTAAAAAATGTTACAATATCCAAGTTTTAACAATGAAGTTATAGACGAGTTTGCGAAAAAATGGTAGAAGAATTGAATTCCATTAAATAGGTGAGTTTTTAGTTTTTTTTTATCTAAATTGCGTCTCTTGTTTTAAATTTCACCGCGCGCCCCTGATAAAATCGTAAGATACAATGCTGTTATAATGTTAGGCAACTTTACTCCTAAGATGGAGAAAGAAGAAACTTTCGTAAACATATTTGAGAAACATAGTTTGCATAACGAAACCAGTCAAAATGGACTTAGGGTTGCACAATTTGCAACAGCGCAAATAATTATGTAGTTGTCAGCACTAACTTCTAGAGAAAAGATATTCATACAGGAACATGGAAAATACCAGGAACCAATGCAAATAATCAAATTGACCACATCCTCATCTCAAAAGATGGGCAACAGACATAACTAATGTCAGAACGTATCGCGGAGCGAACTCTGACTCAGATCACTATCTTGTGGGGGCAAAATTGCTGCAGAACATGGCGACAGTGGCAAAAAGGAAAAATTACCAAATTACAAAATGGAATGTTTAAGGATTTAAAAGGCCAACAAAGACACAAGAATATCAAAATACTCTTCAAATAAAACTCAACGGAATCAGAGAGGAAGATACTGCAGAGGAAGAATGGAGACAATTAAAAACAATAATAACGGAATCTGCAATGGAAACTGTGAAAAAAAGAGATGCTTTAAAAAAATAAGCACAAGAAATCATAGAATCACACAGTCGTTTAGATCAAAATTGACAATATGCAAAGACAAGGACGGAGAACTACTAACAGAGAAAAAAAAATTATAATGAAATGGAAAAAATACTTTGAGGAAAATCTAAATGTAGGCAATAGAAATGATCAAACAGAGACAATATATTTTACGGCAGAGCAGCACATTGAAAATCCGAGTTATGAAGACGTAGCTCAAACAATAAAGAAACTAAAAAACAAAGCACCAGGAATTGACGGAGTTTAAGCACAATTGTTGAAATATGGAGGACAAACTCTGGGGCAGAATCCATTACCTGATAAAGTTGGTATTGACTAAGACGCAAATGTCAGGAATGGGCAGTTAGTCTCATACAGCTAATATATAAAAAAAGGAGATAAGAGGGAATGCCAAAATTGCAGACCAATTACATTTCTAAATGTAATTAACAAAATCCTTTCTAGCATTATCTACAATAGATTGTCAGGGTACTCCGAAAATATAATTGGTGATTATCAAAATGGATTCAGACCATGAATATAAGACAATGGAGAAAAAGAGTCCAAGAGAAAACTGAATGGAAGGACATAGGCAAACAGACAAAGACCCATCCATGATTATGATGCCAAAAGGAGAAGAAGAATTTCGATGGACTCTTAATAAAGATAGCTTAAGGCCTTAATTTTGAACATGGAGATTTGAAATTGGTCAATGAAAGAATGATTATGATGTAGAAAGTGAAGTACATATGTAAAATATGTTTATCTATTATTACAAGCCTTTTTATGTTCTGCTATAAGTTTGTTAAAAGTTCTACCAGTTTGACCGATGTAAGTTTTTAGGCAGTCACCACATGTTTGTATATAAAACTAAGTTTTTGTTGCATTATTATCAATTTAATTTCTTATTGTGTTTATCTTTATATTTATCTAGACGAGTATTGATTTCCAATTTGTAAGATGTTTTAGTTTTAATATCTTTATTCATTATTTTTTACTAATTAACCAATTAAAACAGTCGTTATTTCGGCTTACTTTTTGAGAGTACAAGAAACCAATTCGTCAAGAATTTTTTGTTTAGATAAGGATATATGTTGTGGAATCTAACTTTTATTTTCTCTATGTCTCTCTTACATCTTTAGCATCGTCTGTTTTGCCTTGCAATTTATAGAAGGTACAGATTAAAGCAAAAATCTGAATTTTTGAATCATTTAAGTTCTGGGCTAGCTATAATCAACAAAAAAGTTGGTTGTATATTACAAAACCAATACATACTAAATATCTGATTTTTATAACAAATTATATAATTATTAATTAAAACAAATTTAACAAGATTTTTAATTGTTTAATCCATTATTTCACATCCATCTGCCAGGGCAATTTGCATTATGACAGGTTGACGTCGTGAGGGCGTTATTTCCATATCTTGGAGAAAATCTAACTTGATCTATAGGTGTTCTTCTGTTGATTGCAAGCTGATGGGCTGCACATTGACGAGATTCCAATTGTGCTCGAAGTGCAGCGCAGGGACTTGGAATTCTGCAGGAGACCTGCGTAGATGCTTGGAGGTTGCTAGGTAGCATAGAACTAGCAGGAACGTTTACGTGGACAATGGGTTGCATATACGTAGAATAGAAGTAGAAGGTTAAATAGAAAATTAATATCAACAACGTGGTCATACTAGAGCATATTTATAAGTTTGTAAGAAAGACCACATATGTGATCTTCCAGATGTGCATATGTTATGCTGCAAATCGCCTGCTACTTTCACAAGAACTTTTATTTCTTGTTTAGTTATTGGAGAAATGACAAATATTCCCATGGCTTCTTCGAGATTTTCCAATCTCCAATGGTAATCAATTAGATTTACTTTGTATTCTAAAACTGACGAGTTGATGGCACTAGCAGAAGCAATGTACAAAATACTTTTATCCGCTGCGTGAACTTCTACTTGTTCTAAAACTTCTGGTAATCCAATTATTAAGAATTTTTCCTACTAAACTACCGTCTAATATGATTTCATTTGGTAAATACACTCCAGGTAAGAATTTTATCGTAATTTTTTTAGATGACTTATCACTATCTTCAGTTGTAGCCCACATAATTACATCAGTTCTGAGCATAGATATATCAGGCCCACTAACACCAAGATTAATTATTTTGCATGCATACTGGCCCGTATCGGGAACCCAGCTAGTGGTTACGTTGAACAATTCATTTATCTTGATTGGCAGAGATGAATTAGAAAACTCAATAAAGCATTTAAAACCTGTTGGTCTTACTAATTTTCGAACATCTGTCCTACATCTCCAACCTTGAATTAAATTATTTATTTTAATACCAACAGTCTTTTCATTTTGAAGCACTAGCGGAATCCTTATTACAGTATCAAGTTCCGCATTAGTTAAGACTGTACGGGGAGATTCCAAAAACTCAATTTCGCTGACGACATGTATCTGAATGTAAATAGGGGCTCCTTTTAGTAAAGAATGTGTCAAAACAACAACTCCTTCTTTTTTACCGACAAACCCAATATCTAAAGCTGGATTGATGTACATCAAAGAATCATCATTACTCTTCCACGTACCAGGCATATTGTATTCATTAACTACCGGAGTCCATAAGCAGATGATGTCTCCACTAGTTAGACTGTCGAAGATTGGTCGTACTGATTGTTCTGCTTGGACTTTTAAATAATCCGCAGTTTGTTGAATGCCTTCAGCCCAACCTTTTATTACAGTGGATCCTGCTTGTTTGGTTTGAATAATTACAGCAGCATCTTCATTACTCTTTTCAATCTTAATTAAATCGCAGCGACTGGTTCTTAGGTGTAGATCTTTCGGTCCAGCATTAAACGTATTGCCCATATCATCGTGAAATGTAGCTCTTAAGACAAATTCAGTTCCTAGCGGTACTGTTCGAAGTGGACTGTCGGAATGAATACGCCAATTGGCATTTACAACAAGATTCATATAGTGAATAGCTTTAACTTCAACAACTACAGACAATCGTTGTTTGAGACCCAGTTTATCAATACCTGTTACAACTAACCAAGTTTGACCTAAGATTCCATAGGACTTTAGAAGACCTGTTCTTGAAATTGAAACCAGAGTTTCATTTGTATTTAAGAAATAATCCAATTCAGATTGTGTCGATAAGAAACGATCTTCCAGTAATACATAAGAAATTTCAGTGTCTATTATTTCGTGTAAATTCGTATTTAATTGTAGCTCAGAAAACGGAGCTATCAGTAATGGAGTTGCTGGAAAACTTTTTGGTTTTGTCAGTATAAATTCTGGTATTACTTCTACTTCGATCCAAGCCGAGAGTGTTACAGAGTCCAAGTTTTTAACATTACAAGTGACACCTGGTACGTTAGCATGAACAAACAATTTTGTTTTTCCTACTTGAATTCCTTGGACTTTGATTGCAATCCTGTGTAGTTTTTTCTTGAAAACTCCAATAGGATGAAATATACCACTTAAGTCCAACATTAGTTTATCATCTACATCCCATTTAAACATAATTGGTGGATCCTCGAATGCTCCTAATATCATCGGTGAGATATTTGGAATGCCCCACGCCCAAAATGGTACAATTACTCCAAGTTTAAATCTGGTAAGTGGAGCTAGTATTTTTACACCAGTTAATTTAACAACTTGTATGTCTACATGATCTTCTGCATAAATAATGCTTTGTCCTGTAAACGGATGTACTCCTACTGCTCTGCCAAATACCACAGCTGGTCCAAGATACTTCCCGGTGATGACACCCTGTTCCGAAACTTTTAAAGCTTTGGAGGTTGTTTCAAAAACTAATTTTACATCGGATGATGGTCCTCCTTTAGAAACAATTTGTACATTTGAGTTAATAATAATTGATCCGTTTTTAGGCGATAAACTAAGAGGCTCAAAAACTTGTAGATTTACAGGTGCACTATATATATCTTCGTTGCCTTTTGCTAGAAATAATAACTTTGTATCACCTACTTCAACACCTGTGATCGTATAATGAGTTTCACCAAAGCCCCAGGGTTGGTCTGGATTTTTGTCTGATAAATAAATGTTCGCGATGTTATCCTTTAGATAAGGTCTCAAATTTATTATGTTATTATCTGAAAGATCCATTAGATTGTCGTTTTCATCATATAATCGAACAATTGCGTTGATGCACTTTCGTATCTCTACCTTATCAACCATTTCAATTCTGATTATTCCTACAGATATTACGTTTACTACCAAATAGGTCGGCCTGGATACCAAACATAAATCTATGACCTGCACTGTTACTTCACCTGATTTAATTGGTGTAACTTCTATAGTTCTATCAGTTTCAGAATAATGAGCAGTAACTATATCATTTGAATTCATAGCCAATTCGAAGAAACCGGAGCCTTGTTCAACAGAAACAGTCACTTTGTTTCCTGGATGGTTAAAAATCTTTATATAATTTGGTGAAATGACAGCGTCTTGTACCAAATAGAGCCGCAGAGAATATATTGGGGAATTTTTATCATCTAAGGTTATAAATGGAGGATAATCTACTTGAATAGCACTAGACTTTAACATTGATTTATTATAACCTGATATGGAAACGTTAACAGTCATGGTGCCTTTATCCACTGTTTGTCTCAAGGATTTGATACATTCTAAACGCAATTGGAACACCACTAAATTCTAAATTATTTTCAAAAAGTCCATCAGGTTGTTTAATTTTAGCGCTCCCTGGAGGATAGATGTTCCAAACAAGAGACAAGCTGGTTATATTTAAAAACTTAAGGCCTGACTCATCATAAACTGAAACATCAATAGTTATACTTGTGTTACTATGTACAATGACGTAGCTTGATTCTAAATCTAAAGGGCAAATGTTTGTGTCAGCTACTTTTATTTCGGGTTGCAGAATAATTTCTCTTGGGTTAGCACAAGAAATTCTTGTTTGTACGACATGAGTTTGAAGCTGTGAATTTGTTGAAGTTACATGATTGTTTTGTATCTGCATTTTAGCATTTGTTTCTCCAATTTTTAGACATACTACTCTTACAACAGTATATTCTACTCCGATTGTATGCAACATTGTAATATCTTCAACTGTAGCAATAGTTTCATCATCACTAACCACAAGAGGGTGAAAATCATTCGAGTGTTTTAAACTAGGTCGAGGACCACCCATGTAGATAATATTTGTACTTGTACCTACAGCTAAGACAATATCAGCTTTTGGTTCCATAATGGTTAGAGCTTTAAACGCAGTTACACTAACGGAATCTTCTAGTGCTCTGCCGTTGTGAAAATATGTTACTGTTACCTTACTTGTACCTATTTCCAAAGCGTCTAATACTATGTTACCACATGAAACTCCTACTGTTGATATTGATTCTGTTTTGTTAATTTGAAATTTTGAATCAGAGAGTTTAACTTGAAATGGTAAATCTTGACACTGTGTAAAAGGTACATTTATTAGCTGGCCATTCTTTTCTTGCTCAGCATAAAGTGCTATATATAAGTGAATCGAAGAACCAATTTCTGTCTCCATTAAAAATTCAATAATTTCAAGACGAGATGGAGGTAAGATAAAAATTTTTGTGTTGGCTCTATTGTAGTGGTTGCGCAACATAATAGCAGCTACTTCAAAAACACCATTTGATAGAGTTCTGACTAGACCAGATTGACTAACCATACCAATGGAATTATTAGTGCTTGTCCACATAAATCTTCCATCACCTCCGGTGGCAGTTAAAGTTACTTCGTAGGTTGGTCGTATAACTGAATCCCATGGTAGCATAACTTCTGATGGATTAATAGATATTCGGGGATATATCATTAGATCACTTTTAGCGGTAATGGATTTGTCAAGTGAAATAACTCCTACTTTATCATTGACTATAGACTCCAGCGATGCTTGCACTGGGGCTATTGTTGGTTTCATACCATAACCTAAGAGCCAGCTACCGTTAGAAGATCTTTCAATTACAGCAAAATCTAGGGAAAGATTTATCTGAATTAGAACGGCTTCTCCAATATATATTTTGTGATCATCTGCTGTATACAGTTCAGCTGAAATTTCGTAATGATCTGCAACCAGAATAGCCCAATTTTTGTGAGGTAAAATATTTAATAACATATAATCTGGTTTTACTACATGCAGATTTGCTTCTGGCAATTTAAGCATATGATCATCTTCACTTAAGTTGACATCTTGCAGTCGAATCTTGGTATCTCCTACTTTTACACCAGTAACAGACGCAAGTTTCTCTGTACAAGTTGCTACCGCTTCATTTTCTACCTTAAGATGGTACTGAGATATATATAAATCTATTTCTTCCATTCTACCATTTTTTAAATAGAAAAATTGAAAAGTTATAGTATCGCCAACCATAATATAGACATCTGAAGGGACAATTATTATATTAGCCACTACCATGAGTTGTACCTCACACACTGGAAGATGTTGATATTCCTCAAGTGGTAAACGAACGGAAACTTTTACTGTTCCACTTTTTACACCTTCTAATAATACCATATTACCCTTTTTAAACAGCTTCTCCAAAGATTCTATAGCGGCGGGAGCTTTGTAAGGAGAATTTTCGAAAGGTATATATTGCAAAATCGGTTCTTTGTTTTCTGCCAAGGAAAGTATAGTCCATTCAAACTCAATTCCTTCCAGAGACGAAAATTCGTTACCTTGATCATCATAAGCTTTAACTTCAAAATCTTCAGGTGCCTCCTCCATAAATAGTTCCTTTGTCGTTGTTTTAATGCGCAACTCATGTATGGCGTCTACAATTACATCACATCTGAGTGTTTGCCCTGTACTCACATCTTCGGCTAAAACAATTGCCATATTTCTTATTTTCTCTTTAGTCACTGCACTAATTTGCACTTTGCTTGAACATTTTGATTCAGGCTGTTCATCTATAGGAAGAACTTGTATAATATCGTTTCTTGTTGTACTCCATTTGTAACAGGCTCCTTCTGTAGCTTCTAGAGTAAAATTTATAGCAAACTCGTTGAATATTGGTAGTAAAACTCGCGGCACGTTCAATTTAAAAGAGTTTACCGTTGTACTTATTAGAATTAATTTGACAATAAAAAGTACAATTTTAATTTGGTTAGCCATAAGTTTGTCAAATTAATTTATTTATTATTTGACCGTTCATGATCTATCAAAATTGAGTGACATATTTGAATTCTGGCATTAATCAAAATAATAGGAATAATTAGAAAGAAGTTTTGGTCTTACAACCAATAAGAAAATCCCTTTTTTTTATTGTAAAATGTACAATCCACATCAACCTCGTAGGGTTATTCGTGGAGTAATATATGCAAGTACCTTTAGAGTCTCAGATTTAGACTTCTTCTTTATGTGCCGTCTTCTACCGAAGGTTGACGACCAACAAACGATAGGTTTCTCTGTTTTGTGTCGCATATATCATGTTTGCAGCTTCTGGTATTTGAAACCACTCTCTCAAGTTCCTCACCCAGGATTTCTTCTTTCTGCCCAAAGCTCTGCTAACTGCAATCTTGCTTTCTACGATAAGCTGTAGCAGACTGTACTTATCATTACGGAACACATGGCCCAGGTGTGACGTTTTCCTCCTTTTAACAGTTGTTAACAATTCCACCTCTTTACCCATTCGTCTTAATACCTTTGTATTGGTCACTCTATCTGTCCAAGGTATTCTCAGTATGCGTCAATACAGCCACATTTTTAGAGCCCCTAACTTCTTTATACTTGCTGCTGTTAACGTCCACCCTTTTACTCCGTAAAGTAGTGCAGAGAGTACGTAGCATTTCGTCTCTAGGTCCTCGTTGGGATGGTAGTTATTTCTGCATCCAGTTTCCAGCGTATCTTTTATAACTTCCGCTTTTTCATTTTCTGTGTACACAATTTTATTTTCTCCGTCTAGAGGTGGGATTGGTTTCGTGTTATTTTTTAAGATTTTTAAAAGCTTCCAGAATACAAATTTGTTTGGAGTCGAACCTTGGATACAGGTGTCCCAGCATTCATTCCTATGGTTTTGTAATTGTTTCTTTACTTTTCTATTTAGTTCATTCGTAATCCTTTTGTCTTCCTTGTTTCTGGTTCTGACTCTTCTTTTTTGTTTGCTTTTTTATCTGATGAGTTCTTTAAGCTTATCACTGATATCTTAAAATCTGCCTTTTAGTGTTGTTAGGTTTTTTCTTTAGTGCTAGATTGTATAGCGTTTTGAATAGTTTCTTCCAGTTTGGCTAGACTATCTTCTAGTTCTACTATGTTATTGATTGTTGGTATTGCTCCAATAGTTTCGCTTACAACTCTTATAAAGTTCGGTCAGCTTGTCCCCTTTTACTTGTAGGGTTGCAAGTAGTCTAGTGTTACTACGCCTAGGGTCACTACTATTAAGTTATATGTAGTATCACCTCCATTTAGTGAGTATATATTTCACATTGTTGACTTAAGTTGTGTAGGATGGCAATATCTAGATGTGTAGGGAGTCTGTCTCCTCCATAAAAACATGTTGGCTCCACTGGTCCAATTGCGTAGGTATTGTTTCTTTCTTCGAGGTGGTCACATAGTAGTCTCCCATTCCTATACGATGCGCGGTCATGCCAGTTGTCTGCCCAACCGAATTTCATGTCCTAAGTACTTGTACGATGCAGTCTGCACAATGTTCCTTCCATCAACAGTAATCTTTCGATTCACTCGCACTACTGTAGCAGTGACAGTGAAGTGAACAATGTAGTGCAGTGTAGTAGTGTCTGGGGGCTCGGGAGACTGAGACCTCGGAAGCCCTGAGGAAGACATCAGAGAGGATGTCGAAAGCTCGGCCCAATGAATATCGACGCGGTTCAACCCGGAAGAGTGGTAAGTATATATATATATATATATATAATATATATATATAAATATATATATATATATATATATATATATAACAGCGACTCTTCTACAGCTGGCGCCCGCATCCTAATTTCCAGCGTTTTCTGTCGAAGCAATCTTCAGTTGTTAGATCTCTGGCGTCATTTAAGTCTTTTGGCTTCGATTGTATCTATTATGTCTAGATTGATTTCCATTTCTCTCCGAATATCTTCGTTTCTCACCTATCAAGTCTAGTGAGCTGGCAACATCGTCTCCAGTAGTTCATTTCCATGGCCTTAATTTTTGATTTGTTTCTTTGGTTTATTTCCCAGAGTTCGGCGCCATACAGTCCAATACTTTCTATTATTGTTTTATAAATTCTTCTTTTATTTTCTTTTGTTATTTTTTTATTCCATAATAGTCCGTGTAGCTGTCTGGTGGCTGATCTTGCTTGGCCAATCCTGGAATGTATTTCTTCGCTACTTCCTACTTTTGATGTTATTTGGACTCCCAAGTACTTAAAATTGTCTGTTCCCATTTAGATTTGTAGGCTTTCTGGTTTTTCTCCTACAACTAAGTACTCAGTTTTTTGTATATTAATTGTGAGGCCCCATTTGGTGTACTTCCAGTTTTCTAAGCATGTAGCTTATATCACTCTCGTCTTCAGCTAGAATGGCTTGGTCGTCAGCGAAATGTATCGTGTACAATCTATCATCTCCGATTGGGATGCCCATATTGCAGCACTTTCTTCTCCACAGTGAGAGTGCCTCATTTAGATATATTTTGAAGAGTGGTAAGTTTAATATTAATTTTTGTAATAGTATTAATCTTAGCTCTAGGTTTCATTGTACTAACCGCGGAAATCTTTCCGAATATATATATATATATATATATATATATATATATATATATATATATATATATATATATATATATATATATATATATATATATATACAGATCAGGCTTTGAAAAGATGGTATAGAAAATGCGGAACAATGGGCATAGCAGTACAAGAGAATGTATTACATTCACTACTTTTCGAAGATGATCAAGTCATTTTTGCACAAGACAGGGAGGGTATGGAATATATGATATCGAAATTAAAGGAAGAATATGAACTTTAGGGACTCAAGATAAATATGTGCAAGACCGAATACTTATGTATTGGACCCGAGGTTGCAGATTTGAATTTAAGTTTAGAAGAAGAGACTATTAAGAGTTGTAAGACTTTTATTCAGTATTCAGGTTCAATGATTATAGTCCATTCCACGAATATACGACTGTTTTAAACTCGCTTTAAGGTGTCGATTTAAGTGGTCCAATGTACTGAATTGTACAATAGTAAATTCTCCCCATTTTTAAAATACTGTTACGACAGATATAAACATTAGATTTAAATATGAAGTCATGATATAAATATAAAGTTAATAGTTTATAAAACAGTTGTAATTCAGATTTTGAAGTATATAATTACTATCATGGAGTTTACTTTTTTATTTCAGTTATTTCATTGTAAACAAGTTGGTTTTTGAATTATTTGATTTAAACGAAATGTAACAATACTTAAGTGATCAAATAGAGTAAATTTTTTAGTCGAATATTCAGTTAATATTAAAAAACAAAAAAACATACTTATTCTCTTAATCTTCTAAAACTATCATCAACGATCAGATTCACAGCCATAATCAGTCGGCGATATATGAAACTGTATATAAATTTTCGTTAGTTTTTAATATCTGTACCACTCGGTACTTTAACTATCAATAGCTGGTATGTTATACCGTTACTTTCGGAACTTTTAAGAGTACATAAGCTCAAAGCAAACAAATATTTAAAACTAACAAAGTGAAATATTAGATCCTTTTTCTGGTTTGTGAACCATCGTTCTGCCAATTTCTTATCATTTATATTAAAAATAGTATATTTCTTTTTATTACAGTTGTAATACCTAATACCTAAGTAATAAAATGTGTTATATTAAAGAAACCCGGCACCGGCACGCCTCTTTGGTGTTTACATTTCACGGAAAGCTTACCCAAATGTCTGATGAACAGATTTGGCTTCATAGACGTCATTGTATTTATTTGTAGATTTTAACTGAAATAATTTTAGTTTAGATATCAGTAGACCCTTTTTATTGGAATAATGATTACACCAATTGACCTTCATACTTCTACTTGCACAGTAAAATATTCCTTGTTGCAGTAAACCAAAACAGTCGTATATTCGTGGAATAGCCTATAGCCGAGATGGTACTTGTATGAAAGATAGAAATGAAAATAGCACGGGGAAAACAAGCCACAAGAGCACTTCGTGGAGTGATATGGAACCACACTCTAACCAAAGAAAACAAAAAGAGGATCTTTCAAAACATAATGATGAATATTACCCTATATGGAGCGGAAGTATGGCCAATGACGACAACAATACGAAATAAAATAAGAACAGTTGAACTGGACTTTATAAGAAGATGTCTACAAATCACAAGAGCGGATAGAATAAGAACGGAGGAAATATGGAACAAAATGGAAGTAGAATGCTCAATTACAAAAAAGTTGGAAAACAGAGCCGCTGCAGTGGTAGGGGCATGTACAAAGAATGCCAGAGCATAGGCGGCCGAAAAGAATATTAAACTGGGACCCGCTGGGAAGAAGACGGAGAGGAAGACCTGCCACAAGATGGAAAACATATGTCGGGAAATGCTATGATAGATAGATACCTCAGAGAAGGTGACTGGGAGAATAGAGTGCTGTGAAGGACGAAAACGGCGAACTTATAATGGGAAAAGCCGAAGAAGAGAAGAAGAAGAAGAAGAAGCATTATCTTAAATTTTCGGCAAGCGGCTTATAAGAGAAAAAAGAGTCACATACTTAGATGTTTAACTGATTAATGCTTATTGATGATAAACTCGATATTGTAGGGTTTACAAATCAAACCATTAGTGGATATTCCACACACCTTTATATAAGCCATATTAATTAATTCGTTAATGCAATCTTTGAGAAAATAGGGATATACTAACCACTTTTCTACTAGAATTAGATATTTAGGCTTTTAATCTTAAATAATATCCAAATAGTAATAGAGAATGTAAATAAACTCATTCTAAAGAATCTTTTTCTTTACAGTTATGAGCCATTGTAAGGTCTAAATTGTGTTAACAGTAGTTATAAGAGCTATATTGACTCCGTAGTAATATTTTAACGGTAATTAAAGATATGGCAGAAAAGTGACATTAAAATATATTATTGGGTGATTAGGGATATAACTATTGA